CCGCAGACAGGAGGCCGGCTTGTTTTGCTTTATGACCGAAATTGCGGAAAACAACTCGTGAAGTTTGACCAGCTAGAAGAGTGAGGTGCGCAAGAACGCTGGGACCCTTTTACCACCTGGATCTCCCCCTAGAGATGCTTTAAAAGACTCATTGTTTATATCCCTCATTCTCTGGTTTTTATCTTTTATTTGCAAGAATGTAGAGATGATAAAACCCAAATATTAGCCCAATAAACATTGAACTTCTTCTTCTCATTTCTTTGTTATTTAACAGAATAGTCTTTAACTGTAACCTAATGGTGTCACTTAGACAGGAATAGAACCGAGATCTAAATGTTAATGCTAGTTTTTATTTCAGACGGCATTAAGCCAAAGGAACATGAAAGGTTTCACTTTAATGAATGTGACGGATAGGTGTATTTAGGTGCAGGTGGAGCATTTCCCCTGTTATTACACATCATCACACGAGACATGATCAGAAGTTTCTCCAGTCAGGGCTCCAGTTATCCCACACTTGATGTCTTGAACTAAATATACTGACTAAGGGGCCGTCCTGAAGAAGCAGGGTTGGGTTTAAAGACTCGGCAGACTTTAGAGTTACCACACCACTCATTGGTTCAAGAGAAGTATTACCAAGCCTGTAACGGCTGCAATTTCATCTTGGTACAAAGCTTTATGGGCAGATTCCTTATTCGGCTATGAGTTGATCTAGACGAAGAGAGAATTTTTGTACTTTTTTAATTAATATTCACAACACTATCAGGGTTTATTATATTATCTGCCAAATCAGCTGACTGATTTTATCTATAAACATTCTACACAGTTTGGGATTTTCAGGATTTATCTCTGATTTGACTGCATGGAAAGTTGCAGATTTTTAATATGATGGTATTATGAGCTTCAGAAAAAGTTTTAAATTTAATTTCTGCAAGCGGGACTACTTTATGTGATTTATAATTCCCTCATACTGTAGAGAGTATATTGTCAGAAACCATCTAGTCCAAACTTATTCCTTAATAGATCTTAAAGATGTCCCTCCTTCCACAGCTAATTCTCCCTCCAATATATTAAAGTTAAATAGGATTTTTATGAAACACGGAATAATTTCTGCATTTGTGCGTATTACATCTTTGTCAATACACAACAAATCTTTCTCTCTTTATTGCAGATTTGCAGGGAAGAGGAAGATGAGGCTGCTTTGTAGCTGAGCTTTTGAATTTGTCATTGCATGTGTGGGCTTGCTTCTTTTGTTTTCATGCTGACGCTCAGTTGTTTCACATTCTTCCACTGTTTGCCATCTGTGACTATCTGCATTGCGACTTGTTTCAGGGGCTTTGTGCTGCCCTCCATCCATCCATCCATCCATCCATCCATCCATCCATCCATCCATCCATCCATCCATCCATCCACTCATTCATCCATCCATCCTCCACTCATCCATCCATTCTTCCTCCACTGATTCATCATCCATCCTCCACTCATCCATCCATCCATCCATCCATCCATCCATCCATCCATCCATCCATCCATCCATCCATCCATCCTCCATTCATTTATCCACCCATCCTCTACTCATCCATCCATCCATCCTCCACTCATCCATCCATCCTCCACTCATCCATCCATCCATCCATCCATCCATCCGTCCATCCATCCATCCATCCATCCATCCTATGAATTACTCTGCATTACACGTCTAAAAGTACAAGTACTAGAGTGTACATTGCTAAGTGAATACCTCAAATATTGAGGTATTCACTTAGCAATATTGATTAATCCATTCATCAAATATTGAGTTTTTGTATTTGATCTTCTCTAAGTCGGGAAACAATATGGACAGGAAAATATTTTGTTAGCCATCTTTCTTGGTTCCCAGGTTGGAGTTTAATTTTTTTTTTAAAGTGTGCAGTGACCCTTCTTCAGAAGCTGCCCTGGTTCACCAAACCTTCAAGATGAAAGCTATCAACAGCTCGTGATTGAACAAGTGGGCTGCATGTGACCCAGCTCAAAGTTACTGTGACTCTATGGGAAGCTAAAGCTGATTACTGTGACAGTCTGGCCCTGCAATCTGTCTGAGGACTTCCACTTCAGTTCAGCTCACAAGTCGCCTAGTAAAGCAATTTCCTGAACTCGATCAATTCCAAATTACTCGTTAGCACGTCAACATTTTCATATCAAGCCCTGCTTTTAGAGGACAGGATTTGACCAGGCATGGCAGAAAATATGTACCTCTGGAGTTTGTTTGATGTTCAGCAATAGTGTCAGACATAGTGAAATTTTTCCCATTACCCTGACTTTTAAGCAGAGATTTAGACAGGAAAAAAGATTTGATGTCAACTTTGGTTTGAGTGGTATATTCTTTCTATTTCTTTTTCTTCATGCTGTCAATTTTAGTGTGCAACTCAATCTTCTGATTTTACTATTTATTTTTTAATATGGATAAAAAAGAAAATTGGTTGTAAAGTATTTGTAACTTTTAATAGACTAGTAACAACTTTCATTTACAAGGGTCTTACTCATACCTTTTAATTGCCAAGTGCTGATCTTACCAATCACATTCAAGTAGGTTGTAATTAACTTTAAATGATTGTGCAACCAGTTATAATTACACTGCATTATGTGATGATGCAACCATGGTCGATGTATTGCAGAGGGATATTTGATGCCATGTGAAAAACATACCGGTACATCTTTTTTTAATGACCTTGGGTCATTGTATTCATTACTTGTCCAGCAGTGCTGTCTTTTTCTGCAATGTTATATCACCTTAAACATATCACTTACAGCTTCTAAATAATCTGATCAGAAGTAATTCAAAAACCTGCTTTAGGAAAAATCTATTTTAATAATTATCAGATAACAAAAATCTCGTTTCAATTCCAAAGATTTGTTTTAAGCCACAAAATGATCCTTACTGTTCCTACTCAATTCATGCCTCATGCATAGTTTCCATTCAAATAATTCAACGTGACTCAAGCATCCATGAAAAAAGCAGATGGTAACAGCGACCTGCTGCTACAGCTAAACGATCAATGGCTGGTAATGATCGACCACGGCGGAAAGTTGTCAAATGTTACGTAGCATGCTGCTTAGTGACATAATCTATCTGAAGATAGAAATGCCTTTAATTATCTGCCAGATCTTTAAGATGTATTAATTATAAAATAATTGGTTTTCCAGATGTTTTCCAAATGTGCTGCAAAGGACTTTTTTAATCACACATATATTTGGCAAATTACAACTGGAAAAATAGAGACTAATGAATTAGGCACCAATAATCATGTTAATTTGTTTTTTCTTTTGTAGTTACCTCATTTGGATGATTATATAAAGAGTTTCATTTTTGTATTTTAAGGATAAAGAAAGCTACAAAAAATCTTGTTTAAAATGATGAAAAGTGTGTATGTACAAAAACCATCACAGAAAATGTCTTAAAATCGATCCACCTTGACATGCTAACTAATGCTAGCTCCTGTAGTCTCTACTTATTTCCCCTTCTGTGGTAATCCTAGTTTTAATGTTCAGTCTATCAGCAACATGCTGTTCTCAGGTTTATCCTTCACATCATACTGGCAAACAAAACCAAGACCTTCTTTTAACTGTGAGAGTCTGTTTAAAACATAACACTTAAATTGTTGTTTTGATTTATTTACATCCAATAAGAGTATATTTTTTAGTACTTTTTATTGTATTTACTGTATTTTGCAAATCTTTCCATTTCTGCATCGTGGACGTGGAAAAGTATTTGTATTTCAATAAATGAACTGGCAATCCATCAGTTAGTTTATTTATTTATTTTTGGCTTTCTGTATTTTTTATTAATCTTTATCTTTTGCAGACATTAAAAATGTAAATGTTGAAGAGTCCTATGGCAGCTTTGCACATAGGATTTCTCTGATCAGTCGGCCCCAGTTACCGTAATTGTTGGTGATCTTTGCCCATATGTGCAACCAATCTTATCTGCCTACACAGAAGTCTGAAAACAAGCCCCTGTTTATGTTCTAAACCTTTCATTAATACCCTGCAGCACTATTTGACTGTTTTTCAGTAAAATAAGATTGGAACATTCAAGGTTTAATGTGACTTTATAACCCCTGAATATGCCATTTATATATAAAAAAATCATCTATAGGTCTAACATATTAGACCTATCACAGCTTTTCCTAGCATCAGGCACCCTGGATTAGCTCAGTCATTACATTGCTTCTCTTCAGCCTGTTGTCAGCAGGTGTAACCATCACATCTGCAGATCAGTAGCGAGTTGATGCCATCGTTCCCTCTCACCGTGGAGGGAGTGTCTCCTGGCTGTAAGAGAGCAGCGTTTCTTCTTCATCGCCGCTGTTTCCTAAGCCGGCCCGAATGTGTCACTCACTGCAGCTTTTCCTGCTGCTGCCAGCTACAGTAGATAGTCTTGTTTGCAGCAGGGATGGTTCCCATGCCGACGAATGGACCAAGCCCTGAGCAGCCTGTAGCACTATGTAGCCTGACCTTGATCATCAACTTGAGAGCACAACTGCAGCTAGCTGGCAATAACAGTGAATTGCATCCTGTGTAAACTTCACGTGTGAAAAATACTCTTATCTTTGTGTTGATATTGGCTGGCCTTCTTTTTAAGTTAGAAAGGTAATACAGAGGAGGATAGATGTAAAGCATAGAGTGGTTTCTTTTTTCTGCAGTGATGCACGTGTCTGTGTCTCATCGGCTCTTGGTTTCTGCTGCAGGTTTTCTCTTGACTTTGTGTAGAGCTTCTAAAAATAACACTAAAAGCATCGCTACCCTCATTAATAATGTATTCAAACTGCATGGGGCGAGGGAGGAGGTAAAAGTCAAAGCATCATAGGAGGGAAGTCATCAGAAAAAAGAATGAAAAAGGAAATTCTTATAAAAATCTGAATCTGTAAATATGGTTCCACTGTTATCAAGGTGAAAAAATATCATTAGCCTATTATGTCTTGAATATTCAGTCCAAGCTGACCTTTCTTCTATCTGCTTCTTCACAGTCAATAAGCACAAACCATGGATCGAAACGACGTACCATGGGATTGTGACAGAGAACGATGACAAAGTTATTCTGGACCCTCCTCTAATTGCGCTGGACAAAGACGCTCCTTTACGCTATGCAGGTGAGTAAAAACGTTTAAAGCTGCTGCCGCTCCTTCACTAATTCATAATCAAACATAGCTGATATTACTTCTTGCTCATCTCTGAGTAAATTAAAAAGAAAGCAATGTTACTCTGCTCCTGGATGCAAAACAACTGGTGATGTTTAATGTTAAAAGATTGTTGATGAATTATTCATTTATCTAATTCTTTATTCTTACTAAATAAAATAGAAACTGGCTTTGAAATGCCACATGGTTAATGTATGAAGGTCTTCCTCTCTGCAGCTGATTTTAATATGTATATGTTTTAATCCCTCCCATAATAAAGTTTGTATCTGATATAAACTTTATGCTCTTTCTTTCATGTAAAAGAGCAGCTGACTCAGCTATGATGAGGTCAGGAACTGTTTAATCTTACCTTGTTGCTTTAATTATCATTTAATACCCTGCGGTAGCACACACGTGTGGCTCAAAGGCATCCATACCATAAGATTTTTATGACTTGCCTTTTATATTGATGAACATCTGGCTGCCATCCCCCCAATTTGGCCTTTTCATTTATCAGATCAAAATGTGGTTCTTTTTTTTTATTATTTCATTCCTCCCAGTGGAGAACCACAGTTATGAGAAAATCCTTTGCCCCTGGTCTTTTTAATCATCTCAGCATAGACTCTGGTAAGGTGTAAAAGCACCACATGCTTTTATTACCCTTCATATGATCATTGTAATCTCAGGTTACTTGTTCTGTATCACTCTAGCTTTCAGGTTTTGAGATGTAATTCTGATACAATAATTAAGAAGAAGGTGATAGCTATAGCAATAGGCCCCCAGAAAAGAATATAAAGCTTGTTTTCTGTATGACGTTCATCTCCATTTACAGCAAATTAGTGCTGAATCCACAGCTCGGTGCATCCACTGCTTTGAACTGCAGCAGCTCCTTTTGATGAGCTTAAGAACGAACTGTACGTCCCTCTGAACTGGCCTTGTGTCTCTATCTGTGGAGACAGAGTGAGCAGCCTGGCTTCACGAGGAGGCAGGGGGCCGCTGCTCCATCACGCCAGATTCCCTGCATCTGTGCCAACTCAGAGGGTTCCCTGTTAAGCCAACCCACAGGCTTTTCAGACGCCCGATCAAATCCTCGCCTTTGTGTCAGATCACAGTGATCAAATGAATGTATACTGTAGAGGAGGAGTCGCCATGTGTGTCAGGATCAGGCTTTTAGCTAGGAATATTTCATATCGTGTACACCTTGGGGTATCCTTCTCCATAAAATTTTTAAATTTAGACTCTGAAACACTATTTCCTGCAATTTGAGCTTGAATGCCGCTAACTTTTTTTTTACTTTGTTACAACACTACTTTTGCCCTGATCATGGGAAGTATGTGTGCTTGTCTAGAGGTGGAAATTTCATAAGGAAGTCATGAGATCATTTTTAGGTACAATATTATTATTCATAATTCAAACAATCAGAAAGTGTTACTGCTAAAGGTGAAACTGCGTTGTTAAATGACAACTATCCCCAGTTGTCATATACATCAGCCCTTGTTTTTCCCCAATTCCAAAGGCAGTATTGTCCCAAAGGAAAAGTAAAAACCCTCCAAAATAATCATATAGTATAGTACATTTGAAAGCCCGCCGGCACCGCATGGACCCACAAATAATAAAGTGCTACACGACCCATGATCACAAAGTGTACAAACAGAGTTTATAACAGAGGCAGTAAAGAACATTGCCTCATGCTCAGATAAAGAGCTGTAAATTGGCAGGAGTAAGAAGGTTTGCCTCGTTGCTTAAAAAGTTACTGTTGTCTGGATATTCTTGAATCAGTTTATTTTTAAGATGTAAAATTAATAAATAAGAAAATATGAATAATTTTAATTCATGCTGTAAATCTCTGTTCATTTATACCCTTGCTCGCACCCATGATAAAATGTGAGGGAAAGGTTTCAACCCGTAGATGTACATTTTATAGGAGTACCTGCGGGATACCCACGGGTACCTGACCTCGTGCAGGACTCTGCAGTGTGGATATTAGATATTTCACCAATAACAGCGTCTATCTACGCTGCCTGAGCTTAGCCCGAGATTATGCAGGACTAGAAGGGGAATTCAGGCCTAGTGAAGAACCCATCTGCTAATTTAGAAAATTTAAGCGAAGTTTGCGTGGGAAAATTAGAGGCGTACCAGAGCCGTACATCCCAAAAACAGGCGTACAATTTCTACTATTATTAGTAAACGCCCGTATGCATTGCTAGCTAAAAGCCTAGTTAGGATGGATGGGTTAATTTAACGCTTTATTAAAACAAAACAAAAACAAAATTTCTTTATGTGTAAACCATTTGGGTCTGTGCCCTTTACGAATTCAGGTCAGGGCATGCAAAAGTTATTCTTTTGGTCGATATGCAATGTATGATCCAAAACGTCCCCCAAATACCCCTTGGAAACGCAGGATGTGCAGCAACATCATCATGCTGTCCTGAAGAGGCTTTAACAGACTTGAGGAGCTTCACCTTCCAGGAGGACAGTGATCATGATTAACAGCCGAAGGTAGAGCTTTATACAAAAGCATATCATGTGGTGATGGTCTAGTCAAAGTCCAGACCTAAACCCATCTGAGAATCTGTTTTAACAATAGTAAATGGATATCCACTGAGACTTTCCACCTATACTGACTGAGCTGAGCTAGGATCTAGCCCAAGAAACAAATTAAAAATATCTCAACCTTTAGATATTAAGTTTGAGATAACTTAAGATATGTTTTGGCTGCTCTGATCCCTGCAGGAAGGCGCCTGAGACCACAGCACCATGATGTCCTGTAGGTTCTATATGAGTCCATTTGTTAGTCCATCAATCCTTCACTGGACAATCTACTGGCCAGAAAATAATTATTTTCCCTCCTGAAAGGAAAAACTGATTTATGGTGAAACTCATTAACTGACATGCTTATTAATTTATCCTAATCACAGCTGAAGAGCAGACTTTCTCAAAGATTTAAAGCATACAGTTAAAGAGAATACAGAGAGTGGGATTATTTCTTTTAATTACATTTGTCATTGTACTTTCATCTTCAATTTGTGAATCATTCCCTTTTTTTTACTTGGAGAGACCCTCATGTTTATCTTGAGCTTTTCTTTGTCTTAGTCTACAGCTCAAATATGTATCTTCTTTTCCTCAATGTGTCTTCTAACTTTCCTCTTATCTGGGTTTATCTCCTCTCCCCTCCATGTAGAGAGTTTTGAGGTGACCCTCACTGAAGAAGGTGATCGTGGGCTTTTTTTTTCTTATGCCTTGTGCTTTTTTTTTCATTTTCTTACTATTAACCCACTAACATTAAAGCAGCATCCACACTTTTTACACAGAAATTCCAATTATGCTCTGCAATTGACCTCCTCGTTATTATTTCTTTTTTTTTTTGGGTTTGTTTTCTTGCCGTTCTTTTTTTCCTCACCTTGAATTTGTTTAAAGAGCTGCAACAGCTGGATGAAAAGTGTGATGTGGGGCTGATTGCTCTTAGAAATATCTGTGCATGAGACATCCATTGCAGTTTGCAGACCCTAACAGTTTATCAGCTGTCACCTCCAGAAAAAAAAAACGTCTTGAAAACAGGAGTCTCTCTGTTGACATTTTCTTCTTATAATGACTTGGCAGCTTAAGAAATGTTTACCCACGAACTAAAATTTAAATCCAAGCCGAAACTTACTCCAAAATCTGTCATAAACTGAAATAAAAAATATCAAACTAGGTACAGATTCCTAAAGGTACTAAGCCTCCTCATTGTAGAGCTTTTCTTTTATAGCTTGAGAGTAACTCCTGCAGGTTTCTGAATTTGCTGAGATTGTTAACTAATGCAAACTCTCTCTGCTGCAAAGCTTCTGTTTTTCTGCATCCCTTGCCTCGGTGGATCTCTTTGAGTTAATTCTCCGCCACTAATCTCTACCATTAGCATGGCTGCAGTCGTTTGATGTGGATGTCAAGCAAGTGGATATTTCTAACCCCAGTTCTCATCCAGAGCTTTTTGTTTGGATCCTGTTGTTGTGCTGGTTTAGTTCTGTATGATTTCTGGATTTATTTTGCAGTTATTTTTGGATGAGAGGCAGGCAGAATTACACAGGAAGACTTTCTTTAACTCTTTACTGGAAGTGTTTTCTGAAATTCTATTTCTTTTGCAGATTTTGTGGGGGGTTGATTGATGGATTGGTGTCGTATCACCTTTATGTTTAATTCTTATTTGATATTGTTTATCCATAATATAAGTCATGACCTAATTCTGCTTCCTTTCAATGCTTTTATCTTCATATTCACTTTGTTAAGCTTCTTTTTTTCACAACTTTGGTTTTATTACAACATCCTGAGTACTCCTGTGAAATGCCTGTCCACATTTTTATTACTATTATTTTTAGTTTCTTCCTGCATGTCTGGATGCACTGTTTTTCAAGTGGCTTGAAAATTGAAATAAAATGACCTTAAACCTGCCACTCCCTCACCCACACGAGGTGCCGTTTGACTTCCTCCACAGACTCCATGCACTTCAGCCTAAAACCCCCACTGGTTCCCAAAATCTGTGGCTGTTTATTTATTTTGCCTGGATGTATTCCTTTTTCCCCAGTTGACAATATATATATTTTTTTCTAAAATATCGAAACTCCTCATCATTTGTGCTGAGCCAAACTCCCTCCTTTTTGACTCTCAACGTGTTCAGGTGAGATTTGCGGCTTCAGGATCCACGGGCAGGACGTCCCCTTTGAGGCAGTGGTCCTGGACAAGTCCACTGGTGAGGGGGTCATCAGGGCAAAAGAAAAACTGGACTGTGAGCTACAAAAGGAGCACACCTTCACCATCCAGGCCTACGACTGTGGAGAGGGTCCTGATGGGGCCAACATGAAGAAATCACACAAGTGAGTGAACTTTTCACACCTCCCTCTATTTCATCGGATGATAATAAAGACAGTTTTTATGATTATCTAACAAGGCTTAATTTATACAAATTTACAAAACATAAGCTATTTTATCTCAGCTACGATAAATATTATTTCTGTTTGCTACATACCACAATGCTATTACTAATTATTCAATTTCCATAGCCATTGATTTAAATGGAGTAACACGTGGCTGCAGCTCAAACACAGCTTTGTTATGTGACATTATAAAAATCCTACCAAGACATCAGGAATAAAACTGTTGGATATGATCATATGAACCCCAAAGAAGAGAAGACTTGTGAAGAGGATCAGTGCAGCTGATATAAGACGTTTTCTCTTCCAACCGTCACATTACAGTTGCAAAGGTGCTCGGGGACAAAGGCCTGGAGACACTTCCTGTGTTCTGATGAAACTAAGACTGAAGTTTTTGCCAGTAATGACAATAATTACATTTGGAGGATGAACGGGGAAGAACAGATGGCATTGTAAGGAAAGAACAATTTGTGGTAATACTGAAGAAATATCTCATTCATCTAGAAAATTTAAGCTTGTTGAAATACGGTAAGAAAAAAAATTATAAAGTTATTCATTTTATTCAGTGTTTCAACTCCATGTTAATCCTAATCCTAAATTTTAAAGCCTGCAAAGTATTTCACCCAATCAATACTTAGTGATTGCACTGTAATGTTGCACATATTTAAACTGTAATAAGAACTTCAGCTGAATTAACTGTGCCCCTAATTGCACAAAGACTAGGTTTTCAGTTGAATCTGGTATTTAAGATATGAACCATTGTTGCTCAGAAATGTTTGATGCTTTAGCCTTAATTTGGTGCTGAAATCTGCAGGGTTTTTAAAATCAATATTTATTTTTGCCAATTCAAGGGTGAAAGTGTTAAAAATTCTAAATAGAATAAAACAATGGATTCGTTCAAATCAAAAACTAAAAACAAAAAAAGAAAACAATGACTTTAATGCTTAAAATTTTCTATTTTCTTACTTGTTTTTTTTGACACGATGAATAAGAAGTGTTTCCTCATTGAGTTTCTGGATAAATTAGCAGATAAAAACTCTTAGTGTGCTGATCGATTTGAACCAGATGATAACCTAGGTGACCTTTACTAGCTCAGATTAAGCCATATAATAATATTTAATCCAGAATTGAAGATAATTAGTTTCCTGCTCTTGTCTCCATCTTCCCCTTGCTTAAAACAGGCTGTTTTAAAAAAAATCCGAACACACTGAAAACAATTTAAATGGAGCGCTCTGTAGTAAAGAGACAAAATTAACCACTGTGAAAGGATAATCATTGCAATGATCCTATTGATGTCTTTTTCAGGATTAAAAGCTTTTGCTAAAGTGCTCTGTTAAATATCTGGCTGATAAAAATCTGAAAATTCAAATGTGTTCCTGTTCCTCTCAGGGCGACTGTCCACATCCAGGTGAACGACATCAACGAGTACTCACCAGTGTTCAAGGAGAAGACATACAAAGCCACCGTCATCGAGGGAAAGAAGTACGACAGCATCCTGAAGGTGGAGGCGGTGGATGCTGACTGCTCCTTCCAGTTCAGCCAAATCTGCAGCTATGAAATTGTGACACCCGACGTGCCCTTTACCATTGATAAAGACGGTGAGGACCCTCATGAAGCATGCTTGTCTCTTTGTCTGCTTGGAAAAAACAATCAGCAATTGTCTGAGAGGATAGATTTTATTCACAGAGATGATGGCGTCTATTGATCTGTGTGCACACTGATGCCACTAGGCTCTAATTTAAGATTCAACATACAATGCAAGCCTTCTAAAAATATCATCCAAGGTGACCGGTAGCTTCTGAATGCATCTGTTACTTATATTTATATGCTGGAAAATAGAGTCACAGAATCAATTTAAATCAAAATTTAAATAAAGGCTTAAGATCTTAACAGTGTCCATCCATCTCCTGGAATCCAGGGTCACCATTATGTCTGTATAAAATGTAGGATCCAGACAACAGCAATAATGGTTTAGAAAAGGTTGAGAAGGAAACTGAGATCTCTGGAAATTTAAGTATGAAAAAGATTTGGAATTTCATTATGAAAAAATATGTGGGAATCCTGGAAATGTGATCATCCCTCTATATCTATAAAACCTCTTTGTCTTTGGGGAAGCCTTTAAAAATATCTCTTAGTTTAGCTTGTTAACACACAGTGTTTATTTTTTTTTTGGGCTCTATTATCATTCTTTTACCTAAAAGATTTGTTATTGTTTAGCTCTTTGTAATGTTTTTTTATTCATGAATTTAAGAGTGTCAAAAGTCGTCAAACATACAGCTTTATTCCAATTTCTTATTCTCGTTGTCAGGTTTTATTAAAAACACTGAGAAGCTGAGCTACGGCAAAGAGCACATGTACAAGCTGACGGTGACGGCCTACGACTGCGGGAAGAACCGAGCTTCTGAAGACGTTCTGGTCAAAATCAACATTAAGCCCACCTGCAAACCCAGCTGGCAAGGTATCAGAACTCATCTTTTCTGACTTCATTAGCAGTGTTTATGAGTTTTCCAAGAGTCATTCTAAAACTTGTTAGCTTCCCGGCTTTAAGCACTGATTAAAGAACATGGTGTTTAAAGCTCAACACGGATCAAAGCTCTTTTAGTAAAGATGTCTTAAATCTGTTCTCTTTCCCTCCTGGTTTTCAGGCTTCAATAAAAGGACTGAGTATGAACCAGGAACAGGTAGCCTGGCGCTTTTCCCCAGCATGCATTTGGAGACCTGTGACGTGCCCATCACATTTGTCCGGGCCAGTATCGAACTGGAAACCAGTCACATCGGAAAGGGCTGTGACAGAGACACCTACTCCGAGAAGTCTCTGCACAAGCTGTGTGGTAAATAAATGCTCTGCTAATTAGACCCCTGCACTTTTCTTCCATGCATTGTTCTGCATTTTATAACTGACAAGAATGATTCATTTTCAGGGTTTCTACACATGAAAAACTCTAAAGTGTGTGTTGCCCTATCCTAATCCGATGTACATACATAGATGTTTTTACTTAGTGAACAAACTACATGAAAACCAAAGGACACAGCAGAGAGGTCAAAGGCAAAGTTATGGAGAAGCATCTACCAGAGGGCCCTTAAAGCAATAGGTTTTAGCAGAAGCCGAATGTGCAGCAGGGTTACATTATAAAGTTTGGATGATATTCAGTTCTGACCTAAATCTAATTAAGAATCTGTCACGAGTCTTAATGTTTTGACAATCACAACCTGACTCTGAGCCATTATTCTTGTGTTTTAGGAGCCAGCTCCGGCACCGTGGAGCTCCTTCCTGCACCGAGCAGCTCTTCCAACTGGACGGTAGGACTGCCCACGGATAACGGACACGATAGCGACCAGGTGTTTGAGTTCAATGGGACCCAGGCCATCAAGGTGCCTGATGGTTTGGTGAACACCAACCTGAAGGAGCCCTTCACCATCTCTGTGTGGATGAGACATGGACCCGGGTCCCGCGAAAAGGAGACCATCCTTTGTAAATCTGATAAAACAGGTAAAGGTTCCACATCTACAGAATTAGAAAATGTAAATGCAGTATCTGGTTGCTATTAGAAGGTGAAACAAGTTCTCCTGGCATCTCATTGCTGCTGCGCCCATGTGGTCTGCTAGCTCATCGTATGAAAATAGCCATATATATCTCTGGCTCACCCCAGCAGCTATAATCAGTGTTTGTGTTGAGTTGTCTGGCTCACAAAAACAGTTTCTTTTCATATTTCCTTTCACCTCTGCTAGCTGACCGCTATATTTTTGAGTCGACATTTGTTCATAAAGCTCCTTGATCTTATTCACTTTAAAGTTTCAGTGCGATCAGTGGGCAGGCGGCTCATCAGTCTTAGTTTGGCTGCTTATATAAGAAGGATTACATCAGAGTGGCTTCGCCCTGGAGAGGGAGCTCCCGTACTTGTGATCTCAGCACACCATGACCTCTATTTAGCACCGAGTCACGGAAGCATGAATCCCACTTTTCTGGTTCACCACAGATTAAAGTTTGGTGCTCCAACGAGAACAAAAGCAGCCTAACAAATGTTAGCAAGCAGTGTTAGTTTGAAACGGTCTAAATCTGATCATTTCCTCTCACGTCCTACCGGCAGATATGAACAGACACCACTACTCCCTCTACGTCCACAACTGCAGGCTAATCCTCCTCCTTCGCCAGGATCCCTCAGAGGCAGAGAACTACAAACCGGCAGAGTTTCACTGGAAGCTTGACCAGGTCTGCTGCAACTCAAAACCAGCCCATTTAGAATGATTGGTTGCATCTTTTTTTTATTTTATTCTTGTGCTATTTTGTTTCTAGGCCTGTGACAAAGAGTGGCATCATTATGTGCTCAATGTGGAGTTCCCCACTGTTTCCCTATTTGTGGACGGGACCGTCTTCGAGCCCTTCATGGTCACAGAAGACCACCCACTGCACCCGTCGAAGATTGAGACTCAACTCACAGTTGGTGCCTGCTGGCAAGGTAGACATCCTCATTCATTAAATCGTCTTGCCTGAGAAGGTATTTTATTTTATACAAGGGTCGTCCAACTCCAGTCCTCTGGATCTAGTGTGGTGCAACTTTTAGGTGCATCTCTGTTCCAACAGACCCGGATCAAATGAAAGGCTCCTTACCTTATAGATTTGGGGTTTTGCAGCAGGGATGCTTTTTAAATTTGCAGACCGTTGGTTATTTATATACCTGAAAGTATTCACACCCTCTGAACTTTATCACACTTTATGACACACACCAACACCTAGTAGCATATACTGTAATGTTGAAGCTAAATCTTATATATGCTTTGTTGTGTTTGCTGCAACTGAATCTCCTGGTTCATGTCAACCAGATTGTATATGTAGAGACTGGATTTTTTTTTTTATTCAAAATGGCTCATCTCGGTCAGATTTGGTGGAGATCATCTATTGACAATAAGTCTTATATAAGACTCTCAGTCAGATTTAACCCTTGATCATCCCTGTTACCTCAGACTGTAGGTTTAGAGTTGAAGTCCAGCTGGAAAATGATCCTCCTGTTAGTCAAGTTCTGTCCTGTAACAGTTTTCTCCCCAGTATTTAGCTTCATCCATTTACTCCAATTCTGAAGAAAAGCTTCACCAGAGCATGACATTGGCTTCATGTTTCACAGCATGCAGAGTTACCGTAGTGTTTCACCAAATAAAGGCTTTTACATGGAGGCCAAAATATTGAATTCTCATCTGAGCTAAATATTTGCTGTCATGTGTTTTCGCTGTCTGCTACATGACTTAAAATGCAAACAGGAATTTTTGAAACCAGGATTGTAGGGTTTGGTCCTTCTTGCTGCTTTTTTTATATTACTTACCCAGGTTGTTTATTTTGATCAACAGCCATGTTTTTGGAACATTTGCAGATATACTATTTTCTTAGTTTTTGGAACTGCTTTTTATTGTTTTATTGCTTATACCTGATTCATATTTTTCCAAAACTATTGGTCTTTACCAAACCTCTCAGGTCTCTATAAAAAAACTGATGAGATCAGATGAAATACCCCTAGATTCAGATAAAAAAACTAGATTTTGCTTAGGGGTAAAGTGGGGGGTGGGGTGAACTATAAATGTAGCTTGTATAGATATTTGGACACTAAACTCTAAATTAATAAGATAAAGATAGTGCCTGTTGCTAAATTCAAACTATTCAAGGGGTGTGAATATTTTTTATAATAGACTGTATTTTATGTTTTTGTTTGACTCTATTTTTAAAGATTGAAATTTAGAAATATTCCAGCAGTGCTCTTTATTCATCGTTAGTGGAAGAAACCTAAACCAGCCTGTTTTATGTTTAGTCAACAAATATCGTCTTTACTTTTGTTGTGAATCTCCAGGGATGCGGCATGACCTTATTCTGTAGCATCTGAATCTCTCCTGCAGATCCTCAACCTTCCTTCCTCTCTCTTTCCCTGCTCTCTCGTTTCCGTCCATTGCAGAAAACTCAGGACATGACAATGACACTGAGACAGGCCCTGAGACCACCTCAGGTTGCTCAAGTCTTTCCCTTACTCCTCAGATATGTCCATGTGTCCAGAACATCCCACCATAATAACAGCTTCAACTGCATCTTCATAACAATTTAAACTAGAATGAAATAAGCATTCTAGATGCAAAATGTCCTTTGTTTATCAATTATATTTAAAGCATGACGGGATGTGCTTTTTTTTTTTTCATCATCATCCTTTTTTTATACCGGTATATATATTGTTTCAATCTCCATCTGTCCTTTGGTTTGACTTTTTTTGAGCCAGTACACCAGCAGAGAGCGAAATAGAAACAAAATGAGAACAAAACACAAACAAACTCTGGCTTGGCTTCGTTTTTTTCTGTCCACTCTGACTTTTCCAGTCAAAGTGTGACCTTGTCAAAACTCCTACATATCAGATAACAAGCAGTAGACTAAAAATACACACACACACACACACACACACACACCCTGAATGTTTGTCTCAACACAACTTTAATCGGCCTCAATATTATCCAGTGGGTAAATTTTACAATCAACACTTTCCACTCCTTTTATTCTGTTTGTTTAAATTACCAGTGAAGATTTTATTTTCCCCTCCTTTAAATATAATTTTATTTTTTTTTATGTTTGTCTTTGCCATATCGTTATCCATGATAAGATAGGAACCCCTCTCCATTGATTTAAATGTTGCATGTGCTGATAGCAGACATAAGCTCATCCATCATCTGCCTGTCTCATCCTCTGGGCCCCAGGCCTTTAAGGGGAAACACATACTAACTTGCATGGACGTCATTCATGCCAGCTTTGCTCCCTGAGACAGCATGCTTGCATCATCAGTGCTCCCTTAAACATTTCAGTGATTCTGCAACCCTTCTTAAGTTACTTACTTATTTTTGTTTTACCATTTTTTTCCCTATCCTTTTTAATTAAAAAAGGCGGGAATGCCAGAATGGCTCAGTTTTTCCGAGGGAACCTTGCTGGCCTGATCATCCGCTCCGGCAAGCTGGAGAACAAGAAGGTGATCGACTGTTTGTACACCTGCAAAGAGGGACTCGACGTGCAGCTGCCTGAGGAGGTAGCTTCAGCTGTAAAGGTGAGGGAGCAGAGTGACTCACACAGTGTTTCCAATTGAAATACATTTGCTGTTTAAACAGATACACAGCAAATTAATCAGTTGGCTAAAAGAATCCTTAGTTGTACGCATACATATATGTATATATGTGTATATATGCAGATGACATAAGCTGCTTACAACTCTGTGCTTTCTTCATTTTAAAAACCATATTGATTCTTGAAATAGCAAAGAAATTAGTTTCTTCTCTTAGTAAAAACTTCCACACTGAATACTTTAATCATAGATATGATAGAGGAGGAAAGCAACATATTTTAGATTTTAGATAGGCGGTCATGGCTCAAGGCTGTTTCCTTCTGGTTACCAGTTGATTACTTGTTGCTTTTCTGAGGAATTTCTGCCACAAGACATTTATGTGTGTGAGCTTATAAGGAGGAAGTTATTAGAAGATTTTAAGGCTAAAAAAGAAGGCAGGCAGTGGGTAAACAATGCTGTAATCCCTTCATGATCCTTTCCAGTAACATTCAGCTCTATTTGTCTTCAGTTGGTTGTAAAGGTGAATCATCTTAATTGCTGCAATGAATTAGCTTCCAGATGATATTCAGTTTTATGCTTGAAGCTCTGTCAAGATGAATATGTAACATTTTTGGGGAATCAGACAAACCTTTACTTCATGTCCTTCTCTTAGGTTGACTTCAACCCCAACCAGTCCTCTCTGACTGTGGAAGGCGATGACATCGGTGCCTTTGACAAAGTCATGCAGCACATCTCATACTTAAACTCCCGCCAGTTCCCAACCCCTGGCATCAGGCACCTCCGCATTTCCACCACTGTCAAGTAAGTGACCGAAGATTAATTTCATTTAAGCCAAATCTTATTCCATTGAGCACTGACAGTAAAAAAGGGTTTTGTGGTTTTTTGTATATTTATGTGTGTGAGGAACTCCTTGGTCTGATTTCATACCGAATATGTTCTGAGTCTGAATTCTTGTCTTGCCCATCAGATCTTTAGAAATGTTTGTGTATTTTTTATTTATTTTCATCTGCAAAAAATATATTCTAAATATAAATAGGCATGAATGTATTGCCAGTTTTAAATGTTTATGATATTTAAAGCTGTTTTTTTTATACTTTTTTATAAAAATTATTTTACATCTGTGATTTAATAATAATTGCACTTTATTGATCTCACATTGGAGAAATTGACCTCTGCATTTAATCCATCCCCTTGGGGAGCAGTGGGTTGCTATTTTGTGGGGCCTGGGGAGCAGTGCGGGGTTAAGGGTCTTGCTCAGGGGCCCTGAGTGCAGGCTGTGGGGATCGAATCTTCTCAGAGCACAAGCGCACTGCTCTACTAGGCTAACACTCCCCAACAAAACTATTTTAATAAAAAATTTTGTTGTTAATTTAGTTTTGGGGGAAAAAATTGCTTCATTAGAGTAGAGTTTTAGTGCAAAACCTGAAGACCCATTTTTTGTATCATTTGTTAGCCTTTGACACCGATTTGAGGAGCAACCTTCAAATCAGAGGGTTTTTTTTCTTTTTTGTTATTGAGTTTCTTCAGCTGCAGCTTCTATATAACCAACAGAATATTTACCCAAGGGAATCTAAAATATCTCCACTAATCACTCTCATCATCCAGAAAGATTTTTCATCATGTGATCTTAGCAGTCCCGTGATGGGACACATGTATATATCCAATTAGAGACCAGGGAAACTTTTAATCAAGGCCTTTACTGATTTTACCTTGGTTTTCAATCCTCTCCAGGTGTTTAAATGAGGATGCCTGCGTGGCAGTGCCAGATGCTGAAGGTTACGTGATGGTGCTGCAGCCCGAGGAGCCAAAGATCAGCTTGAGTGGGATCGACCACTTTGCTCGCAGCGCTGCTGAATTTGAGAGCCAAGAAGGAGTGACTCTTTTCCCCGAGCTTCGCATTGTAAGCACCATCACCCGTGAAATGGAGGTGGATGCAGAGTCTGAGGGTGCAGAAGGCACTGATGATGACCCCACAGGTAAGATGATGCAGCTGTAGGAATGTATGTTTCACCATAATGCTAGTGTCTCTAGATTTTTTTATCATATGGACTGAATGTCTTGATTTGATCTGTAATATCTATTTTAGGATGTAATATAGTCTTGAAATCTTTAGTGGCTGAATGGACCTGTAGGAGCGTTTTTTTGTTGTAGATATACTGTAGCTGTTATTGTTAATGATTTATCCTGGAGGATGAGGGGAGTTGCACAGACACATTAAGACAAATGGAGACATGAAGGAAATAAGTTGTTTATTTCTGGGTGTGGTGAGTGACCCGCCTTGCCATCTGTTGGATTTCTACTTGTATTAAGAAGAGGAAGGACAATAGACATGCCCCAAAGCCGACACAGATACGCTGAGAAACAGTGTGCTGTTGTGAGCTGCACGCCATATGGGACAAAAAGGGCTTAGCAAGATCAGTTGCTCTTACCTGCTTTATTCTGACCCACCTCTCATAGCCTGACAGCAAACAAGGTCACTGTAAATGTGAAGAATCATATGATTTTAAACACCAGAGATTTTATTCAATGTAAAAAAAAAAAAAAAAAGGAAGGGAACAAGAAAAAAACTATATATGATTTTAAGCTTTTTAAGCATGCTTTTTAGAAGTAAACAACCAGCATTTACTTTCTATGCATTTAAATCTGTGGGATATTTGATTTGAAATCCAGCTAAAAACCATTCATCACAGGTTGGTAAAAGGTTTTGGCATCAATGCTTAGAGGAACAGTGTACGCACAGCAGGAGCAGCATTGGCAGAAAAATAACACAAATACTACTAAAACACTGCAGTAATAATGGCATGCTACACTAGGCAGATCCTCAGTATGCCTTAATGAAGATATTCTTACCCTGACATTAGACATGCATAAGGTCAGGTATTTCAAAGCAGTAAACTTGACCTGTATAACCACTGAACTTTCATCCTGCATGCGATATTAATTCACACATTTAGCAATTAAAGCAAAGCTTTCTTACTTGGTTATTAATGTCGGTTTCACCTATTTTCACCTAAGAGAAAAACAACTTTATTTAACTTTTCAACTTTATCAACTCAATTTTTTTAAATGAAGTGTAGCAACAGTATGGTAATGTAATGTAATGTTTTTTTGTTCTTGTACTGCTGTCCCTTTCAGTTCAAGAGACAGTTGTATCAGAGGAGATCATGCACAACTTAGACTCATGTGAAGTTTCTGTGGTTGGTGATGAGTTGGACGGCGAGCACGAGAGCCTGGAGGTGGACGTTTCACAGCTGCAGCAGCGCGCCTTGGAGATGAGCTCTTCTAACCTGGGACTCATCATAACTGGTACACAGCGCAGCACTCGTCCAGTAGCTGAAAAGTTATAAACACAATAGTGGTTATATATAGCATGTGAAATGTTACAGCAAATGCTCCACTTTTTCTGGAGTTTTTTGTAGATATAGGCGAACAGAGTTACATGTTGGAACTCCTACTGCTTCTGCTGATGCTTTTTTTCACAGAAGCTCCTCTGTGTTTTCCAGGTGTGAACACGATGGCCAACTACGAGCAGGTCCTGCACCTTATCCGCTACAAGAACTGGCACACCGAAGCTCTCTTTGACAGGAAATTCAAACTGGTCTGCTCTGAGCTAAATGGTCGCTATATTAGCAATGAGTTCAAGGTGGAGGTAGGATACACCTTTTTAACAGCATCACTTTTTACACATCTCAAAATAGCTGGTTTAAAATAAGGACAGGTTACAAACGAGGCTTCCCTTCTCTTCAGGTGAATGTGATTCACACAGCTCCTGTGGAGCACGCCAACAACGCCATGGTGCAGCCCAACTTCATCAACCCTGTTCACCATGCATCTGTGGATCTCTCTGGTCACAACTTGGTCAATGCTCACCAGGCTTCAGGTACTAAAATACCAGTGTGAAATGTGCTTAATAGATAAAAGCATGCTAATGGGTCATGTTTTTGGTCTTAAGCCTTATTTTCAGGGGATTAGTTTAAGCAGGAGACCCCATTTGATTTCAGTCACTCCCTTCCCCCAACTCACATTTTAATTGCTATCTCTGTATACACTGCCGTTATTGCACTAAATGAGGTCAAGATTCACCATGGAAATATATGGAAGCGTTTATGCTGTAGCACAGCTATAAACTAAAAATCAATGATTAACTGTTATTTTCTTCTCCTCAAACCAGTTATCCTTAGAGATTCTGTTTGTTATCTGTTTCTGATAGGAAACAACACAAACCTCCTGACCCTTTCTGCAGAAATATGATGCACATATTAAATTCATGAATTGCTGATATTCTGAGGCAAAGCAAACAAATGATGATAAAATATGATTAATAGCATGCATTTCAGTTAGAAAAAGGCTAAATAAACTAAGTTATAAGGGTGAAAACTGCTTTCCCATTACCACTCTATTTTGAAAGATATGGCAGTAAGAAAATCATTTGAACTTCCCCCCATTATGTGACAGTATGGTTCCAAACTTAGGTATTTATAGGCATTTATGAATAATGCATAATTGTGTAGCGAAAGGAACATGCAAGGAGCAAAACAAACACTGCACACTGAAGCAAATAGATTAATAGTGGTTGAATCATGCTTTTGGATGCCTTTCTTAGACATTAACAGAGAATTGGGTCAAATAAGAGCGATTTTGCAGAGAAAATTGAAAAAAATGTTGCAAAGCTATTTGAGAGATAAACCAGAAGACCTTCAGCTTAAAGCACAGTGAGAGTTGGTTCTCACAAAGAATCACCTCATGTGGACTTATTATGAGATTTTTGCAGATCATCTTATAAAAACATGTATAATTCCACATTGAATTCATATTGACGTTTATGGTTGTTAGCTGAATGCTTTGTAGTGCATTTGGAAAGGTTAAAAATCTAATTTCACAGTTCAAGATTATAGAAAACCTTGATGAATACATCATAAAAGGTCCTCAAAATTACATTTTTCTTTTTGTTTTAAAAAGATATGACATATTGTACAAAACTACTTAAGCTTATAGACTTCTACATTACTTATTTCAACTTGCAGATCATGTTGACGTCTGATCTGTTTACTCGAAGCTCTAGAAAGTGATCTGGTCTGTTATATAGCAGGTGTCACTGCAGATGGATTACAGTGGTTTTAGCGAAAGTGGAACATGAAATATAAGCAGTTTTCCTTTCTTTTACTGTCATTTTCTGGCACTGGTTTAGGGATTAAATCTCAGCTCAGTCTTTGACATCTGCAAAGGTCATGTTCTGTGCTCCACCTTTTGTTCTGGCCTGTCATCGTTACGCTGACAGATAGAATAGGGACCCTATGTGGATGACATGACGGGAAGTAGAACAGTTTGTTGGGAAAATCTATTTTAAGAAAACACACCTTGAGCTTCTGAATATATTCATGTGCAGCTCTGACTCACCGTGTTGCTGCTGTTGTCCTTCAAAGGTTCTTGCACCTTCCTGCTTAAAACTGGAATAACTGTATCAATTTCTAGAGGCTCGACTGAACATGTTGTTCTCTGATTCTTGCTTCCTCACAGTGGTTCCCAGCGCCGCCACCATTGTGATTGTGGTGTGTGTAAGCTTCCTGGTGTTCATGATAATCCTGGGCGTGTTCCGCATCCGAGCCGCACACCAGCGCTCCATGAGAGACCAGGAGAGCGGCAAGGAGAACGAGATGGACTGGGATGACTCAGCCCTCACCATCACAGTTAACCCAATGGAGGTAAAACATTAGACAATAAAAGTGCTGCAAAGAGAAATAAGGAAGAAGGTTCAGCTGCAGCTGGCGAGGCTGTAGACCTGCTTAGCTATTCTGTGTGATGCTGAGACTGTGTCCTAGTTTTTATCTAAGCCATAATAATTGACAGTCCTGTGGGGACTAGAGGGGGCATTGTTGCTGAGAGCTGAAGTCGTGTTGCATCTGAAAGAGGGAAAAGAAAGAATCAGGATGTTTTATGACCATTTATCTCTTTTTTTTTTCAGCCAAGAGATACAGATTTGTTGAAAAATGAATCCAAGTAATTGTGCTGGGACTATAAATATAATGTATAAATAAAATGGCATCACATAGCAAGCTAAAAGGCCATTGGCTGATTTGAATAAATAAATAAAAATGTTAATGATAATGATCTTTTTCAAATCGTTTCTGTCTAAAAAAAATATTTTTGGAAAAAACATGAATAAACTTTAAACTTTCTGAAGCATTAGTGAAAAACATTGTATTTAATATGATGTTTCTTTTACTGCATCTATATTCCTGTTTGTTTGTTTTTGGTTTAGTCTGGAAATAGGCAAAAGCGACTTTATTTATATTGAATTATATTGTCATGTTTCAGTAACATGGACAACTTATAGTCCAAGTAGGAGAGAAAATAAAGAAAAAGATAAATATCAAAGGCAATAAAAATGAATAATTAGAGTGATAAAAAGGTTCTTTGAAGATTTCTCCCCATCTAAAGATAGACGTATAGTAAGAGATAAAACCATTAATAAAAACAAAAAATTATATTAATAAAAATATTGTAATAAAATGATTCATGATAAAGTAATTATGCAGATAATCCAAATTTGACTAAAAACTTGAATGAATAAAGTTTAAAAAGCAGAATCAACAGACACTCACTGTTTTCTATGTGTTTGATCCAGGTTAGTGGAGAATAAAAACTAAAAGCTGCTTCTTTATGTTTGGTTCTGGGTATGCAGGGTAGACTTGAACCAGAAGACCTGCGGTGAACCAATTATCACCTCACAGGCTTTTAAGTTGGATTTCATCAAGAGCATAAATAGAGCTGTGGTTTACAAGAACACAGAAATATCAAGAAAATCAGCAATAAAAAAAGACATTTTAAACAAAAAAATGTTGGTAAGTGAGGGAAAATACGAGGAAGGAGCATCAAGGTTGTGTAAACAGTGTGTTATGATCACAGGTATTAAACTTTTCATTTGAAACATTCGCATGAGTGAAGTGGAGCAAAACAGAGTTTGAATTTCTTTGTTTAAAAGAAAAAAATCTCATGTAAAAATCTTGATACCCTCAAATATATTCCAGTACGACCGAGTCTCTTCAAAAAGCAGGATTGGTCATTAAAGCCTATTTTGTAAAGTGTAAAAGAGAATTCCAAAAAAGTAAAAAAAAAAAAAAAAAAATCCAATCGACTTTGTTTCCAAGTTTGAAGACATTTTGCTGAAATGCCCATGACCTGGATGACTGAGAATCTTCACAAGCATCAAAAAGAGAGAAAAAAAAAACACAGCTGAAAGAAAAGCTGCAAGAAGTCTGACTGCTGGGGCAGAAGGACACCAACCAGAGAGATGGAGCTACAGTGGATCAAAGCATATCCATGTGTTAGAACGGCCTAGTCAAAGTCTGACTTTTATCTAGTTTTCATCTATTTCATCTGTGTAAAGGGTTGAACTCTGCAATTATGGACCAGATGATGCTGGAGCTCAACTCATCCAGTTAAAGTCACATAAAGGATTATCTATGATACCTTCTTGGATGCAGGATGAGTTGGAAGGAGATCTGCTGCTTAGATAGAAAGCTCTAGAGACAAAAATGAGGAGGGAAGCATCCCTGACTTGAATGATGAGAGAATAGGAAATATGGAACCACAGGAAGCTCGTGGGGGCTCCTCTTTGTGGATTTATGACAGAACTGTTTTGTGAAAGAGGCTAGAAAAGATGTAATCATATTAACAGAAGCAGAGAACCTCAACAGAGACAGAAGACAAACAGCTCATCACAAAAGGACTTGGAGTTATAGACGCTCTGAACCAGGAAACACAGGAAACAAGAAGTCAGAGAACGCAGGACGCTTACCAAAATAAATCATGAGATGACACCATAGATTAGAAACTCTGGCACTAAAGGCTACAATTATAAAAGGCTTGTTAATTAACCATTTAAGAGCATTCACAAATTTATGCCCGTTTCATTAAATCTCAATGTGGGTAGAGCATTTAGAGACATGCTTTCATCGCAGCAAAATGTTCTACATTATATAGAACTATAGACAAATATACTTCACACTTTTCAGACTTTTAGCCATAAACCCGTGAAAGTCTCACCACACAATTATACATTAATTTGTGCTGATCCATCCCATAATAACCGAAGAACCTAAATCCAGGTTTTTGCTCTTTTTGTATTTAGATGAATAGAAATCTCCTAAACTGGATGAAACTGTTATATATGAATAATATATGTAATTTGTGATTTTTTTCCCAAAAAAACAAAATATTGACTTTTTTCAAGCACATCTATTATAAATTAAATCCAGCTTTAAAGCCTGTGAATTCTTAATCTATTACAAAATGTGACAAGCATTGATGGTCTATCAATGGTAATATGGATGAAATGTTTGAGATGCACTGGGTGTAAAATAACCCCGTTAATAGTCAGGAAAAAGGTAAATTGTTCACTGAAAGCTGTAAATAAAGGCTGTGCCAGCAATAATTCAAAAAAACATCTGTTTTCTTCACAGATTTGTCATTTCTCCGCCTCTAAACTCTCAAAAATAGCTTTCAGCCCAACTCTGTGTTTAGTATGGATGATAGCTGGAGGATGATAAAAATTAGAGATGGAAAATAACCAGCATCAAAGATAATTGGATCACCGTAGACAAGGCACATTCATCTTAAAAGAAAACATATCATATTCTGCTTGTTTGTATCTATAACGACAACCTGCTTTTCTTGCATCCTGCGATGCAGACTTACGAGGACCAGCACAGCAGCGAGGAGGAGGAGGAAGAAGAGGAGGAGAGCGAGGATGGGGAGGAGGAGGACGACATCACGAGCGCTGAGTCAGAGAGCAGCGAGGACGAGGAGGGCGGGGAGCCAGAAGACCAGCAGGGGACCAGCAGACAGCAGCAGCTGGAGTGGGACGACTCCACTCTCACCTACTGAGAAACACCAAGCCCCGCACATACTCTGACACACCGACACACACATAAAACCAGGCCACAGTCACCGCTTTACGCACCCCTCCATGCAGCTTCATGTCTAGGAGCCATAAAATACAAAAACAACAAAAAAAAAATGAAAAATGTCCTTCAGCGTATATGGTCAAGGCTTTCCTGTTGTTATCTTCGTGGTGGTACTCAGTGTAGTGTAGTCATCACCAGGTTGCTGATTTAACTTTTCATTTTTTTTATTTATTCTAATTTTAATTCCCTTGAAAACTTGGCCGACATTTCTTCTGGAGTTTGTGAAGAAGCCAGCCCTGCACTTTCTGTTCTCAGTCAGGCTTTCATGCAGAGATTCATTTAGATTTCCTGATGTATATCCTTTGGCTAATGCTTTTAGGGTCGCTTGCTGACTTCAGTTTTCTTGGATTGTGGTCCACAGTGAAGCAATTTTACTCTCTTTTTTTAATTGTCCTTGTTTAGTGCATGAGGAAACTTGGGAAGTCTTACTTGTAGAGAAACAAATTGCTTTTTAAAGATTTTTTTTTTCGTTGTTGTTGTAAATATAAAAACGATGTAATTAGTTGATGTGTTAGTGAAAGCCCGCTCAGCAGGGTCCAATATCTTAAAGAAAAACTACAAAAAAACCAACAAAAAAAGACGCAGTACGTAATGTAGAATATCTGTGTCTGCACAGGCTGTAGCATGTCGCTGAATTTCTGCTGAAGCCGTTCCACCGTGCTTTTCCAAAAGTCTGCCTCGTCATGAGAAGCCCAGGACTGTTACGCAGAGGTTTCCATGACAGAGGGGGGTCCGTTTTGTCCTTTTTTAAAAAAAAAAAAAAGAAATATTTCTGCAGAGTGAAATGGATTCTTTTGCTTTTCTCTTTAACAGTTTTAGCTCAGTCACTATCAAGGACCAAAAGTGGCCGCAATCCGATAAATAATTTGTCAAATTCATAATTTATATTCAACTGTTCTTACCAACAGGAAGACTAATATACATAAAAAATTGAATAATTTACTGAGTACTGAATTACATATGAATTATTTGAAAATGCATAATTTCTTGAAATCATATAGATGTTTTATTTATTTTCTTTCAGATTTCCTGCCATTATGAAGCAGCTTGTCCTTAAATTGACCCAAACAGCTGATTGATGAGCCTGCACCACAGTTTTACTAAAAGATAAAGTAAAAGTCAGACAATACTTACTTTTGCAATCAGTTTTTTAATATTAGTAGTAGTTAGTGGTAATGTATTTATCATTTTAATTTTATGTATTAGTTTGTTTTGAAAACAATTTCCCAAAAAAAAGAATATGGATTGCTTTAAAGCATTTCATAAACAAGTATGTTTTTTTTTTAACACATAATATATTTAAATTTGAATTACCAATCTCCACATTTAATGAACTTTTTCTATCATTAAATGATTTAAATGGTTACCACTAAAAATCATTATTTATCCAATACTATTGAAATAATCAAACAAATATTTATCAAATTCCGTCTTTATTGAATTGTGTCATTTTCGGTCCTTGGTACGCACGCGCTTTGCTGCGATGCTCGACTCCTGGCGTCCACATTTCCCAGTTCAGCTTGATGTTGCACAGGAGGAACCTTTTATTGGTCATTTTTAGTTCCACTATTCTTGCTACATACGGTACTTTCCAAACTGCCAGAAAGCACGGCAGGAGGATTTTAAATACAGGTACTGAACTTCCTGCTTGTGGATTTGGACGAGCAGGGCAGCTTTAAACTGCTTTCTTTCTATCCACCGAGGTTTACTTAGCAAAGTGAATTCCTGCTTTGTGGCATGGCTGTTTATTCATAAAATTGGCATTCATTTTTAACTTGTACTCCTGCTCCAAAAGCGTCACAAATTTACTGTATTTTAGCAGGAAAACATTTTAAAAATAACCGCTTTCTTCTTTTGTTTCTCAGTAGACCATTAGGTTTTTATTGTACGTGGAACCATACTGGTAGAGTTGTTCCGACATATTTGTTTACATTTGGTAAACTTGTTTTCCTGCTGGAGGTAGTATAAAGCTTATACGATCGATTGGGAAAATGTGCCCAGCCTGTCTCCTCTCAGACGCTGTTGTCCATCACTGTTGTGTGTGTATGTATATATATATATATAAATATTTGTCTTACAAAACCAGATGATGACAAACCTCTGCTCTTTAGTGCGAGCATGCTAAAAGCTGCATTCGCTTCTACCAGATTTGGGGCATTGCATGGTGCAGGAGCGGCATTTACAAACAAGCATTAGAGGCTGGATTTTTTTTTTGGGAGGTTATTTATTTTTTCATATTTTGCATGAGATTCTCTTCACAGAGGCCAAATCTAATTTTCCTTATGGGGACAAAGCTTCTTTTGAAGGGTTGTTTCTTTTTCTTTTTTTTTTTAAATCTTCGTTTAATTGTTCAACAACCAGTCTCCCTTTCCTGATGACATTTAAAGCACGGGGCCAGGTCTGAGCCAGCTGAGATGGGAGTGCCTTTTCGCCAATCATTGCAGAATTAGCAGGTCTAACAGAAAAAAAAGACACTTCTCCACGCTCTTTTATTTGTGGCATTTTTTTTTGTTTTTGTTTGACGCTAGATTTCTTACAAAGCTGAGATTTTTTTTTCCAGCTTGTAGTGATCGTAGTCCAACGCTAGTTTTATTGAAAGTACAAACATTCTACATAGATGTCATGTGTCCTTGTTGATGTGTAGAGAAAGTAGATCCATATTGTATCTTCTATAGATATTGTACTGAATCCACCTTTAAATGATGTACAGTACATAAAGAAATTGCTTTGGCAGCGTAACTAATAACTGAGCTGACGGTGTACAGTAGGTGATTGTTCTTTTTCTATTGCTTGACTTGTTAAGAAGTGATTCTAAAGGGCAGCATGAAATTCACACAATGACAGTAAATCCTTATGTTAAACATTAAAGTCTGGTTTCAAGGTCAGTAATGTTCTTACATACGTCTCCACAATGACTCCAACCTCCTTAATCTGAGTCACCTCTACCATAACATGCAGCCAGGCCGTTACACCAATAGGAAGCAACTCTGCATGAGCCGCACGTTTGTGAATGTTCTATGAGGGGTAGAGACGGAGACTGTGACGCACTACTGATTCCCAAGATTGTCCGTTTCACACATTCATCACACTCCAGATCATAAGATTTTTTTTCTTTTTGTTGTTTCATTTTTCGAATGTTGCTCAAATGGACGAACGGGTCTGCAGAAATGTGGGATGCCTTCTTTGTGCTTGTTGGAGCTGCTCTCTTTCCTACAGGTCAGAAGGCGGATTGTAGTGAAGTTGATGGCTGCTCTTAAACACAATAAAGGACGAACTGATGGAATATAAACAGCCTCTCTTTTTTTTTTTTTTTCTTCTGAGTTCTGATTTTCTGGGGAGGAATGAGAACACGCCCCGTGTGTTAGTACTGCACACCTGAAACAAGTGTGCCCCCTAGTGTTCAGTAGAAAATCCTGAGGAATTTTTCAAGGTGGATAAAGCAAAAGAAGCTCAATGCTGTTAGCTTTGCTTAGAAATAAAGGTTTCCAAATGAAATTGAAAGAGACGTTAATCCAGTAAAGGAGGCTGATTTCATAATAATGAATGTGTATGAAACTGATATTCAAAGGAAATATCGATACCGCCAACACCAACGCCGTTGAGTTTATTGAAATGTCAGTAAGGAGCGAATAAGGGTTAAGAAACATGAACCAAACTCCTAGGATTCCTTCTAAAAAATAATAAAGCACGATCAATAAGCGAGTCATCAGA